GCTGGGCTGGCCTCGCCTCGCCGACAGCTGCTCCTCCGCGCGCCGTCCGCACCCTTCCCTTCCCACCAGCCCTCAGCGTTTCTCGTCACCGGACAGGGTAGTTTCCACTTCTGATTCGGGACAGACTTTTATCTTCTTTCCGTTTCAGATCTTTCCCAAACTTAATTCCCTTTAGATTTTTACCTCCAACCCTTGTCCACTCAACACGTAGTTGAGAAAGAATTCTTGCGTAACTTTGAAACTCGGAATAAAAGTAGCATGTTTCCCTTTAACACGTTCCCGGAGTCTAAGGTTATTGTCGCTGCCCGTACAACCTATGAACAAAGGGTGCATTCCATACCTTTTTGGTAGTTTGCTCGGATCTGATCTTGAGGGTATCTACTGGTTCGCGTGCTGGGGAAAGTGATTAGGGTGCACCAGTGTTGGTCTTTGGCATCTGGTTAGCTTTGACCTCGTTGTGGGGTATTTCCTTGAGGGAATTTTTTTTTTTTTTTTGTCTGTGTTAATAGGACAACCTGACAGTCGAGTGTTATTCAGAGTACCTCCTGATTTCTAAAATCATGAATAGGTTGATTTTCTGGTGAAATAAGTCAGGTTACATGTGAAATATTTACTGCAATTTAACAACAACAACAAAATATATATATAAATCAAGAATCCTGTTAGAAGCAGCCAAGACGAATTGACTTGAGACTGATCAGGCTAGTCTATTTCTTCTTGAATTGTCTTGTGAAGTGAGATAATCTTCTATTTACTAGCAGTTTAAGGGACCCAGCTTACCCAATGTGGTCACCTCAAGAAGGTAATTCCTAAGGTGAGATCCCCTGTACTTCCCATCCTGTAAGTGCTGTGCACTGCACTATTTGGAATACTTTCTCTAATCTCCAAATTTTCATCCCAGTGGTTTATGTCAGATTTAGCTCTGAAATTTGAAATATTTCTTGAAAAACCATTATGTTATCATTTCAGATGTGCCTTTCATTAGATTGGAATGAGTCTTGAAAGAAAAAAAATGGGGAGGGAACAAAAGTAGGTTGGTGAAAGCAGAATGTTAAGTAGGGATACCTCAGACCTAGTCTCCAAAGAAAATGAGAGGGCACCTGTCAGAAGAAAGTACTTCTAGAACTTTATCTTGAAAACTCTTATCTCCCTTCTCCCCTCTTACCAGTTGTTCAGTAGCTTTTTGGTGGGTATCACTAAAAGTCACCACAGATAGTTTGACTTTTGAGTTCTCAATTTCTGCCTGATGTTAGAGCTGTAATAAGAAGGGAAGGCATCTCACTTTTGGATTTTAAATGAGCTTTTTTTTTTTAGACATGTTGCTAAGTAAATGTGGTTAGTCCCATTTCATACTGCGCATCTGTTTTATCCATCACTCTTTCATAGGTGCTTTGTGATACTTTTAAACACACGAACTTACTATATTTAAACCTTTATGTTTTAAGTACAATTGATAGAAATGATCCTAAGTGCTTGACAAACTCTCCCATAGGTGTTTAAAACACTATTGAGAACAAAAAGGGCACTCATAATTATGCCAGAATCACAGGGTTTCAATGTTCTTCGTGGTGATTATTACAGTGCCTTGGGGGCTAGTAGCTTGTTCCAGTTTTAGTCTCATCTTTCCCCGGTGACTGTAGTTCTGTAATTTGGATCTGTCACAGACATCTCAGCTTGCATGTCCACTTCAGAGACACCTTCTCTTAGGTGGCTACTCTGTCACCATCTAACAAATCATTCTTTTTACTGAAGAGTATCTTGGCTTTTCTCCTGTTAGCTCTGTAACAGCAAAGATGTGGCTGTTGTTTATTCTCAGTGCCTAGATGTGTATTTGGCACATAATGATGCTTGAGAAGTTTGAAGGAAGTTAAGTTGGACCCCATCTACACTTTTAGAAAAAAATGAACTGGTACTGCATGCTTACTACTGTAATGTGAATGAAACCAAATCCTGGAACATTGTAAAAATGATGATACCTCTTCCCCTTCTTCAGCTGCACTTCTCTTTGGCGGTGTAAGATGAAGGAGTAAGGTTTTGGTCATTTGTAAAAATATTTGGTACCAGGATTTAAGAACTATTAAATACTTCCTTTACATAGAACCCTTCAACCTATGGAACCTATACCCTGGACTTTTATATAAGCAAATCTACAGATAGATTTGAGAAGAGTTTAGATTCATCAGAGGATGTTGGGTTATTTGATCAGGTCTCAGGGTATATAGCTGCTTCTGATATAGAAAGCTTTTATGATACAGTTCATTCCCTTTCAAAGGCTACATGTCCATCCTTCCTATATTGGACACCT